GATCAATGAATTTTATTGGATTTTATGTGACAATTGGTTATTTCCGGTCCATTATTTCTTTATTTTATAGTTTTTTTTCTTTGTTCAATATCTCTATTATAATTTTTGTCAATTTCCTTCTTGATATATTAGTATTAGTAAATAAATATAATCCGGTATTAGTATTTACTATTTGAAAATCTTTGCTTTTTTGGCTTCTTATTCGTCACACCTTAATTATCACGTATGTCACACGATAAGATCTTGTGTAATTTTCAAACCACTTTTTCAAACCGAATCAAACCAAACCAAGCTGCCCCAAGCATAGTGGAAGTTTGTTGTTACACGAAACATTATACAGAACTCATTGCTTCTGAAACTTCGCCAGTATATAGTTGTTACCTCTCTAAATTGGAGATCAAGTTCAGATCCAATTCAAATCCAGTTTATCACTTACTTTTTATTGCCAGAATGTTTGCTGTGTATTGTAAAGCTACATTGCACAATATAAAAATTAGTGTAACATTTCAAATTTCCACTATGCTGCTGCCCCATCCCTAACAAGTAACCTAGTCCCGCAACTTGCTGCGCCTCGTGGCCAATTTTGGGAAAAATATCAAATCTCAGAATTGTAAGTTATGCTCAAAAATGCAATAAAATTTTTGTACCGCATGACCTTCAATGGTGATACAAATTAAAAAAATTTTCATTTAAATATTTATATGGCTCATGTCACCTATAATCATCAAATTGATGCACCATGTGCTGAAATTTCAAAAAAATTTGTTTTCCCAATTTTTTCAGATTTGATAAAAACATGGTTTTTTGTAAAGGGTAATATTATATACAGAAAGGTTCTTTTTTGTGAAATATACAGAACCTATGTGACAAATAAGGATTAATTCTTAGAGTTGGTAAACACTGTGTAGTTCCTGCTACCCAGCCCACAAATTTAATCATCACGTCTGTGATAAATGTCACATTGGTTTTACAAAAATTTTGAGCTACAATTTAGTTTCCTTTTTTATAGAATGAATTGCTATTTTTGGTAGGGTTCTGTATATTCCATAAAAAGAACCTTTCTGTATATAATATTTTCCTTTTGTAAAAATCACAAGATCAGTTAAAAAATTTTTTTTTTAAAAAACCAATTAAACTAATTCCCAAACTTAAAAACTGTAAAATGCCTTACCCATCCAAATGCAAAGTCAATTAAAGGATGCAAGAACACAAATTGGAAAAAAGTGTATGTTCTAGAATTAAATTACATAAATATCTTGTAAATAAAATTTTAATATCATTTTATGTTTTTGAAAGGTGATGATGAATTATTGTTCAATGATGTTATTGTAGATGTTGATGATGAATTGTATAGTATTATGAGAAATGAAAATAATGAAAACAATGAAGAAAGTGATTATTATATAAGTGATTATGATTTTAACTGACAATTCAGGTAGTGAGGATGAATGGAGCAATATAGATTTGACAAACCACCTTGTGAAATCATTTGAAATTACAGAAGAAACAATTGCTAAACAAAATCTAAATTCATTTGAGGTTCTTAAAGAAGCTTCTATAAAACCAAGTGCATTTTTATTGCCCAACAAAAGATCATTAATTTATTCTGGGATGCTAAATCAACTTTACAAAATAAAAGGCATGCCTTGCTGCAACTGGATCTAAAAAAATTACATCAATTTTTCCATCACAAGCATCAAGAATTATTTCATCATCATCATCAAATAACACCAATGATATACCTTCTTCTTCATTAAATGAACCTGATATCATGCCTGTCTTTGATGTGGTAAGTACTGCCAATGATATTAATAATGAATATTCTTTACATCAGGAAAATGAGTACAAATATTATGTGTATATAATACGCAATTGCAGGGATTAAGCATATAATATATGTACAATTTGCATACATAAAAAAATATGCGATTTGTATGCATATTATATGCTTAATCCCTGCAATTGTGTATTATATACGCATAATATTTGTACCCATTTTCCTGATGTACCAACATTAGAACATAGATAAAAAATAAAAAAGAATTGGACCCAAGGTTGCAGTATACTGCACAGTATTTAAGACTTGTCAATTCAGGTTACAAAAAAATGGATGCCAGCAATATTATTGCACAATCCTTAAGGGTAGAGTGTAGTCATGTGATTTTTCATAACAACTGAAAGGATAAATTTTTTACAGTGATGATCATTTTCTTGTGCCACACATTAAAATAAATTATAATAAAATAATTCTAAAACGATCAAGCTTTTAATAAATAATATAAATAATTCCATCCTTTTGATTTAGCTTCAACAACCCTGAGACCATAAATAATCAAGCTATATACAAGTTAAGGGTAGAGTGTATGTAACACGAAATTTACTATGATACAGTAGATAATTTTTTGACTGCGAATCATTAAAAATTATTATTATATACAGTAATATATAGAAAAAATCATTTTTATTTTATTTGTAAAAGAATGATGATAATTAATATTAAATATTTAATACAACATTGTCCTTTTCTTCTATGACATCCTTTAGCAAACAAAAAAATAAAAATAAAGCTACAGTTCATTCTCTCTATAACAAACACTAAGTAAAATCTCTATAATGAACTTCCCTTTTAATTAATTTCTCTCTCTATAACAAACATCTTAGTAAACACACCTTACAATGAACTGTATATTTTCTCATGTTCCTTATTTATAAATAAATTATGATGTTAGTTAATTATATTACAAAAATAATGTATTAATTATATTAATTATATTAATTATTTCACAAAATACCAAGTAAAATTACTGGAAGCTCCCACGTTTTGTTTAAAGTAAAAGAAAATTTGATATAACTTCCCCAAAGAATAGTATATATATATAGAACAAATAGTATATGTAGAATAGACAAAGATATATTGCTATCTTGTTATTGACCTCTATTACCATCCCTCAACTCATCTATATAGTTGTTTTCAAAAAATTCTATTTTTAAATGTTTTTAATGATCCAAATTACATGAGTAAAACTAATATCACTTACATACCTTGATTAAAAACGGGCAATTTTCTTTTGGTATTTAATAATATGGTTATTATTCACTTAAAATTTATTATTTCTATTTATTTTTATTAATACATTATAGAAAATTTTATGTTTTATTAGTGATTAGCAAAATGTCTCTAACTTTACAAGTTTTTTTTGAAATAACCATCTAACAATAAAAAATTTTTTTATTACTATATGATTGTATGCTGAAAATGGATTTTGTGTTAATTTTCGTCTCACGAAAACTAGTTTTTGGTGTAGCTGCGTATGAAGCAAGTGATTTAAAAGAGGTTCGGGAATTATTTATCCTCGCCGATCATTATATAAAATCACATGACTACACTCTACCCTTAATATTTAATAATTGAGCGTGACACCCTGGCTTTCTTAATTTGGTAACGATTACCATAGTTCATGATCGTCGACCGTTATAGACAACATATAAAACATATGAGAATTTTCAGAGGCAGGCTGTTATACACTATAGGAAATTTAATTAAGAAAACCGTTACAGAGTAAGGTTTTTATATAATAAAAATTTGGGTTCTGATTCCCAGTGCGTTATAGAATGGAGGACATTATAGAAAGGGCCGTTATAGAGAGAGTGAGCTGTACTTGTTATTTTAGTTAATCTGAAATTCAATCGTGTAACATCGTGGAAATTTTTTTTAAAAATGTCAGGATTAGATGAATGTGAAAAGAATGGAATTGTTATAGAAGTTGTAAATAGTAACAAAAAAGTAAACGATGACGACGATTATAGAGATGAAGACGAAGACGAAGAGGATTTACCATATTCAAAATCACCATTAAGAACTAAAAATGAAATTGTAGACATAATAATAAGTAAACCAAATGTAGAAATAACACTAGATATGGAATTACGAAAAATTGGTCAAATATTACACATTGTCGAGAATTATATTGTTATAGACTCAGAATTATCAGGAGAATTGCAAGTTTTAGATAGTGATAGTATTTTAGTATTAGAAAATAGGGAAATCTTGGGACAAGTACTTGTATAATTTAAAATATTGAAAATAATAACATATTATTATTATAATAACAAATGATAAGAATTTTTATTATTATTTAGATCTTTGAAACAATCGGACCAGTCGCTAAACCAAAATATGTTGTAAAATTTAATAATGAATCAGAAATTAACAAAGAAAAGATTAAAATCAACACTGATATATTTTGTGTAAAGGATTTTGCAAAATATGTGTTTACTCAGCCTCTTCGCCAACTGAAAGGTTGCGATGCAAGTAATCTATACGATGAAGAAGTCAATGAATCAGTTAGCATTATTTATTAAAATAATAATGATGATGATTTCGATTTCTTTTGTTATTATTTACGATTATTATTTTATAAATTATTAGGAATTAGAATTTTCTGATGATGAAAAAGAAAAACTTCATAAGGGAAATTCACGAAATAACAAAAAAAACCAATCGACCATGTAATGAATGATTTATTATTTTAATATTGATCGATTATTGGGTGTTTTCACATGATCCATATATGTACCCTGAGTATTATACATCATTCTATCCTAAATGCTTTCAAGTATCCATCTCATAAAACAATAATTACATGTGAAGAATCCTTTGAAGTTTAATCATTATTATTATTCTTTTTTTATAATAGAAATCACAGCAAAAATAATAATTCTACAAAAAGAAAACCATTTCCAAAAAATCAATATTATAATGATAATAGAAATTTTGATAATAACCTTATCAATACAGCTGCACCAATATCCACATCATCGTCATCACTACCTTACCAATCCCAATCTCTTCCTTTCACGCTTCTTCCACTTTATCAACCTGTTTCTTTTTCATCTCTCCCTTTTCCATCATTATCGTCATCTCTCCCTTTTCCATCATTATCGTCATCTCTCTCTTTTCCATCATTAAACAACTATAATGATAACGGTAATGGCAGTAGTGGTGCATATTATAATAATTATAATAATAATTCAATGGAACCACCACCTCCGGGAGCATCTTCATCTTCTCCATCACTTCAAACGTTTTCTTTAAAACTACCAACGCCGCAGCCACCACACAGTAACAGTAACAATGGCAATAACAACAGTAATGGTAACGGTAATGGTAATAATAGTAACAATAATAATGATGGTTCTAATTTTGATTACAATATTTTACGCAGACCAAAATTTTAATTTTTTTTTAATATTCCACGCAGCAGTCAGCCATTTTACTCATATTAATAAAAAATTTTCATCCCTTAGATTATTATTTATGATTGTTACATTCCTCATAAAAATTACATACATGTTGATATGATAAACATTTATTTTTACCAAAACTGTGTTAGTTAATAATTTGTTAGGGGAAATCCATTATTAAAAAATATAGACTTTTCTCCTCAAAATCTCTACAATATAAAGTATAATTCCACGCGTTTTCAAGCATAAATTAGAAAAAGTTTTTATTTGACAAAAAAAATTTTTTTTTTCGAAATACATTTTTTCCAATTTAAATATTTTCTTCTTGCTTATTAATAAACTTTTGCAGATGGTATGTGATCTTTAAGTTCTTTAACATTTTATTAAATTTCAACTAATTTTTTTAAAAACTTTTTAAGACTTCTACAAATCAAGCAGATCCTGAAGAATTCTATGTTAAACAAGACAGAATAGGTTTATACTCATTTATATATATATATTTAAATATATGATGTATTTATTATACTGGATTATTATATTCTTAAATACCTTTTTTCTATTTATATATATTTTTATAGGTAAAGGATCTTTTGGTGAAGTATACAAAGGGTAGAGATTATATATTAAATTTTAAATTAATTAATTGGAAAAATCATCAATGAGAATTTGGAAAATTAATCAAGTTTTTTTTTTATCAATTACAACAAGATTTGATAAAAAAACCAAAAAACCAGTCGCAATTAAAATAATTGATCTTGAAACTGCTGAAGATGAAATTGAAGATATTCAACAAGAAATTGCTATTCTTTCACAATTGGATTCACAATACGTTACAAGGTAGAAAAAGGATCATTTATATATTTTAATTTACCAATTGTATTTAGTTCTTGTATTAATAAAATTGCTTTTCCCTAATGTTATATATAGATATTATGGTTCTTATCTAAAAGGAACACATTTGTGGATTATAATGGAATATTGTTCTGGTGGTTCTTGCTCAGATTTAGTATGAATTAAATTATTTAACATACATTCATATATATGTAATCCAATTATTGATTAATTAATTTAATACTTATTATATATATTTTTTTTTAGATGAAAGCAGGAGCTATTAGAGAGGAATACATAGCAATCATATTGCGAGAATTATTAAAAGGTCTTGATTATCTTCATAATGAAAACAAATTACACAGAGGTTTGCTTTCTTGCTTTTAATTATCAGTTCCTTTTTATAAAAAGTACTTTATATTGTTTGATTAATATATAAATATATTTATATTTGCTTATTTATAGATATCAAAGGTTAGAGGAAGGAAATGATTTTTTGCTAAATATTATTATTACATATAATTGAAATCTTAATAATAATAATAATAATAATAAATTAACTATTTTGTAATAGCTGCAAATGTGCTGTTAAGTTCTAATGGAGATGGTATATATATATATATTATTTGCATGTATAAACATAAAAGTATAAATATATTAATTATTTAATTATATAATTGTATTATAGTTAAATTGGCAGATTTTGGAGTTTCTGGACAGGTTTGCTTAATTAACAAAATTTTTTGGTAACTTATTAAATTTTGCTAAAGGTATTATTTATTATATGATAGATTACAGCCACTATGACCAAGAAAAATACTTTTGTTGGAACACCAGTAAGTTTAGTCTCTTTTCTTGTTAGTAAAAAGAAAAAAGCATAATATTCATTTTATTTTTTAATTACGAATAAAAAAGTTTTGGATGGCACCTGAAGTAATAAAGCAATCTGGATATAATTCTAAAGTAATTATTTATAATATAATTTTTTTTTATCAAATCATTAATTTAATTTTAATTAATCATGTGCACATGTATACACTTTTAGGCAGATATTTGGTCATTGGGTATAACTGCTATTGAACTTGCCAAAGGAGAACCACCATATGCTGATTTACACCCAATGAAAGTTCTTTTCCTTATCCCTAAAAATCCACCACCAAGTCTAGATGGGATATATTCTAAAACATTTAAGGAGTTTGTGGCTGCATGTTTGGACAAAGATCCAAAAAATGTATTATTTAGTTTCTTTATAATTAAAGATTTATTCATTCAACCTATTTGTTACAAATTTTTGTTAAAATTTTTTTTACAATTAGCGACTGTCTGCAAAAGAATTGCTCAAAAACAAATTTATTCGTAATGCCAAAAAAACTTCATATTTAACAGAATTAATTGAACGATATCAACGATGGTTGGTGGAGAGAGGTCATGATGATACAGATGAAGTGACACATAATGAAAATGGGTAAAATCATAAATATAAATATGTAGAAATAAATTTCATTAGTTTTTTGATCCAAATTTTTACATCATAATTTCAATAGACATGATTCTTATGAAGAACCATCTTGGGAATTTGAGACTGTTAAACATGCAAGACCAGTTTCACTAACATCATATAATGAAGAGGATGATTATTCAGAAGACAATGCCACAATTGGTCCTGCTAAAGGAAAACAAGCAATGGTATTGAAAATCAATATTCATCAATAACTATTTAAATTTTCTTAAATCAGTATTCTAAATATATAATATTAATAACTGTTAATAGGCATTAAAAACAAATGATTCTGGATATGATACAATTAAACATATAAGCAGGATTGATGATGATAATGATAATGATGATGTTTATGGTTTATATCAAAATCATGAAGAACCACCAGTATCAGTATCGGGTCCAGAGGTTTTCACTAAAGTTATTGTTCCATCTATTGACAAGGTAATATAGAATACTTTTATTAATATTGATTTTTTTTAAAAATTAGAAATTAATTTGATATTTAAATAGTTGCGTAAAACTGCACCATCTCAAAAGGCTCGGTTAACTTTGGATGGATTAAGGATTGCTTTTGAGGATGCTGAAAAAGAAAATCCTGGCATATCAGAAATATTTATGAATGCTGTTTTTCAAAGATTTGATGAAGTTAATATCTAATTCAACATCATCATATTCTTTATTTTATTATCCTTTCTTTTCATTTATGTAAAAATATTTATATAAAATTTTTTTAATGATACCTTTCTTTTTTTTTTCTTCTGCATGCTCCAATTGTCTTTATATCATATCACATCATTATTTATCAATAATTTCTTTTCTCATTTCATATTTTTAATTTGATTATCATTGTCATTATTAATTATTAATTATTTAAAAAACATTGATATGAATATAATATTTATAGTAGGAAAAAACCAATTATAAATATTTAATTTTTATTATTATTATTAAAAAAAAAGATTACAATAATGATCCTATATAATAGTAGTAGTAGTAAGTAGTATAGATTGTATAATTATGGTACAAAAATCATAATTTTTTTTGCATTTTTTTAAAAAAAAGAAATATATATTTCTAATTTATAATGTGGGAGGAGTAAAACAAAATAAATCAAAATTAACAAGCAACGATCCTTCATTTATTAAACAAACTATGGTGATGAATGATTCCTGTATGAATTTTTATTGTCAATTTATCTAAATAAAGCCTTAGTGGTGTTGAAAATGATGCTTGAACTCAATATACAATTTACGTCATTCAATAATTGTGATTTTCTCGAAAAAATTTGAAAATTCTGACTTCTAAAAGTCAATTAAAAAAGCAGGTGATTATAAAGCACAAAAAAATTTTAATCATTAAGATGTAAATAATGAAGATTCTTAGATGATTAGACAAAACAATTTTATGACTTAAAACATCTGAAAATGAATTAATGATGAAATTTGGTATGATCATACTTTTGCGAATGATTTTAATTCTAGCTCAAAAAGACATTCTGTTTAATTCTGCATGTTAAAAAAAATGTTGCCTTTAAAACTGCTGCTGCAAATACCCATCCTTTTTCGTAAAGAAAAGTTCTCCAAATGATGTTACAGTTGATAGCATTGTGAAAATACTACTTTTTTTAAAACTCTTGTCCGTTTTTTTGATAGTTTGTAATTACATAGTAATTCAACAAAGAGTAAAAAGCGGAAATTAATTATTAAAAAAGTAGTATTTGAAATATAAAGTAATGAAAAAGACTTGATTGAAAAGTTTGAAAAACTTTATCAAAATTAACAATACTAGAAAAAGGTAGAAGCACACATCCAAACAATGTGTTAATTTTTTAGATTGCGCATTAAAAATTATGATTGCAGAGAGTATTGGTGCAAAACTCGCTTGATTCGAACATGATCTAGAAAATGAAAAAGAAAATTACTGAAAAAACAGCTCGTGTCTGGTTGAAAAAACTTGGATGGAATCACAGAAAGTTTGTAAAGATATCTACATAAGAGACCTGATGCCATCCTGGCTAGGGAAATTTTAATTGGAAATCCATTTGAATAGAGGTTGGTACCTTAATCACTTAACCGCGCGGCTAACCATCTATCTTGGTGTTACAAAATTTTATCCAACAAGAATATAGAAAAATACCAAACATATTATATATTCACATACAGTATTTATAATGATGAAATAAATACGGGCGATGCTTGCTGCCGCTAGAGTTTACTGCATGCTCCAGAGAGTATCGATCTTTACTTTTTTCTTTTGAGTGGGCTTGTGACTAGAGTTTCTTCTATTCGTAATACAAATTCTTATTCGAATTATTCATAATAATAATAATAAATAATAAATGGCATCAAAAATTCAGGAAATAATGCTTTTCATGCAAATTCCTTGAGGTCTAGTCGCATTTTTAATTATTTACTTGCACTCATAATCCCATTTCAAACAAATAACTTGATTGGTTTTAATGTCGTTTGATTTTTTTGTATTGTCAGCCTTTTTATTAACGTTTCGTGGAATGTTAGAATGAGAAACATACCTTGAAAAAGAGATATTTGAAAAGAAAAAAAAGAGTATCAAAATGTTAGGAATAACAATAATGTAGACAATGAAGAGAAGAGAGTAAGTGCTGCAAATTTGTGAATTCCATTATTAAAAATATGATGGCGAGCGAGAATAACAATAATGAGATGAGGTGGATAAGCTTTATAAATAATAATTCCGATGAGATGGAAGGAAATCTTTTAAGAGTTGTATTAACAATTAATGAATTATTTATTACTCAATTTCTCAATCAATTAAATAGAACTACAACTATTAAATGAAAATCAATGTAAAATAAATAGTTCATTTGAAACATTGAAACCTCTATATTTATTTAATAATAAGTTAACACGTTATTCTTTCACCATTTTTCAATAACAATCTCACAACATGTTCTCATAGAATTCACTAAATTAATTAGAACTGAATCAGGAATTCCCCATTCTTCCTTCATAAATTGTTCCAAAATTGCCACAATTATCAGGTATTCTTTTTCTCTACGTTTGTCTTATTCCAGAGATTTTCAATCTGGACTATTGGATGGCTAGTCCATTACTTCGGGAACATTGTCATTGAAAAATGATCGGTGATTCTGCTGATACATTTAGGATCATTATCCTCTTGGAACCGCCAATCATCTCATTGATCTCTGGAATATGTCTTTCAACAATTTCCATATATAATTTTGCATCCGTTATTTCAAAATAGAGAGGTTTTTCCTTGGATACAAAATCCACCCCAAGCTAAAATTTTGGTTCTATCTTTTGGAATGCATCGGATTGGCCCTTCTCCCCTATGCCAACATGATACAGTGTTTCTAAACAGTTGAAAAGCAGTCTCGTCACTGAATAATGTCTTTGACCAGATAATTAGTTGCTCATTCAACGCGTTTTTCTTTATGTTTTGCAGTCAACATAGGGGTAGCTTGAGGAATGCTTTTTTGATAACCATGCTCTTTTAAATATCTTGATATTGTCATGTGAGACACATTTACATCATTTACAAACACTTAATTTGTCAAAGCTCTTAATGACAAAGAGGTATCTCTACGAATATATTGATCAATGGCATGTGCTGCGCCTCCCGTGGTCTTTTTTTGGTCGGCCATTACCTCCTTTATGCGAAACTTCATCTGTTTTCTTTAAATTTTTAATATTGTAATAGATAGTTGAGATTGGTATATTGGTCATAGCATGTAATTCTTTTGCAGAGTGCACACCATTGTTCCAAAAGTATAATATGGTTTGACATTGAGTTTCCTTCTCAGAAGAAGACATTTTGAAAATCAATCATAAAAAAATTTGCGTAACAATAGCAATTATTTTTTTTTTTTTTGCTGAGTGAGGTCTGACCAAACATTTTATGGTGGTGTGACCCACTATCCAAAACCTTGAATGGATATGCCTACTGATCCATGGCATCGCCATAGCTCAATTCCACTCTTTTATTAAATAAAATTAGGTTTTCGGTACATATGTTTACATAATAATTTGTTAAAATTTCACTTCTATTTCTATTGCTATTATTACTATTGTTCCTACTTCCAGTTAGTGATGGGCATAAAAATTATTTTGAAAAATGACCAAGTTATTAAGTACTTAATAACTCTATTATTAAGTGTTAAAAACACAAACATGCAGATCTCTTATTGGTAACTGTTTAATCAAATATTAATTTGATAAACAAG